TCGTATTATCATACTATAAGAATACTACAGTGCTTGCTCCAGTATATATAGAGTTCAATGGGACTTACCATAATTCTAACCTCGAATGTTCTGTTTATTAGAGAATCAAAGAAAACTACATTGAAGAATGCTTGCGGTGATGCAGGTCGTAATGCGAGGTAAGCTTGAATAAAGAGATCGCAATGGAAAGTTGGGAACTTACAAACGACGTTTTTAACTCGGACGTCAAATTACGGCCTTTACTTTGGTTTCCTTATACAAGAGCGATATAAGGTGTTCTGCAGACCATAGATATCTTATATACACTAGATAGTGAATCTAATTATTCTGCAATTCAAAAATTGAAGCCGTATTGCAGACTCAGGATATTACCATGAAATGAGAAGATTCGTATGTTTTCTATTTCTTAAACAGGGAATTTAAACATTAAGTTATTGTTGTTTTTAAGCGTTTATTAGCTAGTGGGAAACTTCAACATGGCCGCCATCTACCGGTATTCAAATGGCGGTAACCGCTGGAATATTCTTGGCTTCAATTTTACCAAAAGAGATGCGCTATCTAGTGTATGTAAGATATCTATATGGTTCTGACGCAAGCCTATATAGCAAGGCCTGAATATAAAGAATCGCCTTAATTAAATAATAATTGTTTCTGGTTATTTTTGTTAGTTGGGATGCAGAGTATTGGGGAAAAATGACGAGCGTGATTGATAGTTTTAAGGAACATGTCTGGGATGCACTGAGTGAAATATCTTTCTGTGTTGACTGAACGCGCTGCTTTGATTCAAGAAACTGATGCTCTAGAACAACAGGTAATAGTTCACACACGCTTGCTATACGTCCCACAAGCCTTCATAATGTGAAATCCATGTGGAATTCACTGGAAAAAAAAGTAAAATCCATACCAGTGAGCTCTATATATATATGGAGTAAGAACTTCAGTCATTCAGTCAATGAGAAAAGTGAAGCCAAGTGAAGCCAAGATGTGGCGGCCATTGACGTCCAATAGCTCTGAAGGTCGTAAACAGTTCTTATACCATTTCCCCCAGCTAATTCCAGTTTTTTCTAATGGGATGTATCACTAATCAAGATTTCAGTTCATAAAATCACAATATTATTCTTTAAATCTAAGTCAAAATACGAAATTTCAACACACTCCTTGCCAAGATGGCGGAAATTAAAGGAGCTATTGGACGTCAGTTCCAGTCCCTTTCTATTGTTTTTGTATACGCGGTTAACACGAAACTGGCTTCACTTTGAGCAACCAAGTTCCTACTCCAGATATATATGGAGCTCACTGATCCATACTACGAAATTTGCAATTGCACCACTAAATCCATAGTATATCCTCATATTTTGATACTATATCCATACTATGGAAATATACAATTATTATGGATAACCAAAATTCATTCTATTTCCAATAAAGGTCCATACAATTTCCATTCTATGACCTTCTATGGATTTTCAAAATTTTTCCAGTGATTGGGGCACAACACATGTGGGATCTCACATTTGAAATCAGCGTGTGGATTTGGGATACAACACATGTTGAATGAACGTGTGAAGCTTTCGTATATGTAAAACAAAAACCACATGTGAAATTTTGGGAAGGGCCATTTTGTTTTTGCGAAAAAAGTGGTTTATATAATTTACGAATTCTTTATACATGAGATTCATTCGAACCCAGTGCAATAGTAGCCTACTACTTTTGGAAGTCTGAGACTGCGCGCAGGCTAATGCAATAGCAAACCTGCCAAAATGTAATTATGACGTGGCACACTGTTGAGGAAAGTATGGCACATTGACCATAGAGCCTCGCTTTCGTGATTGAGACATAAGGCTTTAACTTATCTCATCTGTGATTTCATACACACGAAAACGAGGCTCCATATCCACAATGACGTACTTTCCGAAAGGGTGTATTACATTGAAAAGCATTTCTTTCAGCGTTGTGGACCATTTTGATCCTAACTTTAATCTTTACTTCAATCCTATTTGTCCTATCTTTACTTTTACTCTAACTAAAACTTCCATTCCCCTACCGAAATGTCACTTACAAAAAAGTATTTTGTTTCAGAACTCAGAATTACGGATGCTTCTTCATCAGTATATTAATTCAAAGGTAATGTTCTTTACAACTTTGGCAAACCTGCAGTCCCTTGCGGAACTCTGACCGGTATTTGGACATCTCTGATCGCTATTTAGACATCACTGGTAACGTCATTTTGTTTACCAATTTGCATCGATGCCTATGTGTTTACTCTGCCTGCAAACATTCTATCATGTTCTCACATTGTTTAACTCGTCAGAGCAATTTGAATCGTCAGAGCAATTTTAATGGTAATGCAAAGCAAAGACTGACATCTTTACTGACATTATTTTGCGGAATCAAAAATTAGTTAAATTATAAGCTATAGTCTTATACAGTATATTACGATATGAAGATCTGGTCCTTTGTTTCATGTTGACGGGAGTATCTTAACATCTAATTTGCACTTTTTGTTAATTGTATATATGTTTTATTTGACTGTTCCAGATACTTTATCTGCACAACATGCACATGGCATTGAAGGAATACCAAATGTTTTCGCGCAGGATAGCGTCATCTATACACGCGGGATGTTGCGAGACTTTCGTGTAAAAAACACGAGCCGCAAGGGAGTATTTCTTTACGCTTTCCAAAGTCGAGCAATATCCCGCGCGTATTTACATGTAAGATATTACATGGCGCGAAGATGACTTTTGTCTTCGAGTGGTGAAAACAACATTTTACCGGAACGAGCACAGCGACTGAGTGTTGGTGTTTCAGACAAGAGTCAAATTAAAATTATTTTGACTGTTGCAACACCAACATGGCGACTGCAACGTCATGTACAAACGCTCTGTAGATTAAATTGCTTTATTTGTCGAAAAGCCATGCTGTTTGTGATAGCGTAGTTGAGTTCCCACTGACGCTACTGCGGGCGATTAGTTAGTAATCGACCTGGTAAAAACAAAAGAAACCCCCGCAACTATGCTATTATTATAATAACATGATCACCTCGATTTTCATTATTCTGAGAGGGAATGTAAATCCGTATATCCCTCATTTCCTATGCATACGCTTTGTCTTCTAAATTTTCCCGGTGCAATTAGGAAGATTTTCTGCTTTGTTCAACATTTCGTTGTGTCATGTATATTCAAATTATTTTCGTACACCACGTGTTTCATTAGTTCATACTGTTTGTCGCTGTGCTAGTCATTTTAGAAGCTCTTCTCGTGAAAAATTCTCTCAGAGCTAAATTCTTGTTTGGTAAGTGAACAACTTTTTGAAGAGAAATTTTTATCTTGTTCATCCTCAACATGCATTATTGTGTTAATAATTATTTAATCAATTCTCTTTTAGAATGAAGAACAACCACACTGCAGCTGTTCCGATGTTCATTACTTTGCGAGAACGATTATGAAATCTACGACTAAGAATTTATCTCGCCTTTGAATTCCTTGCCTGCAAGGTGGCGTCGAATACAACGACGAAGTGATTGGTTTCACAACCAAAGAAACCTTCTGTAACGCGAAGCCGTGGAGACTTTGAATAGTGGCCCAGTTTGAATACCACGACAACGACAACGAGATGGTTGCCGAAATGCTTGCAACTCGCGACTGAACGCCAGATCAAAATCATCTCAATCTGTTGTGTTCTTCACCGTCGGCCAACTGCCACACTAATTGTGTCGTCGACGCCCAGACCAGCATTCGTTAGAGCGAGCTTGCAGCAAGACCAGCATGTGTTTCGTTTATACCAACACCGTTCAGCTCGATTAAACAACGTGGGCAAGATGACGATGCTGTCTCGGCATGCTTTATACAAGGTAAAATCTCATGATCATTTTAAGACAAATACAACACACCGTCTTTAACTTTGATTTGAACTGCGATCAGAAATATGTTTTTTTAAAAAATAAAATTAAATTATTTAGTTATGCTGTAAGCGTTTGACATTTGAAAAGTAGGAGAAAGTTACGGATTTATAGCTGATTCAACTGCCCGAAAAATACAACAAAAACGTTTCCGTTTCGAACGAATTCCCAGTCGAGAATTGACTGGCCTGGTTGGATATTTGTACATAACATATATTTGTACGACAATATTAAACTGATGTAACAACGTTTTTATTTCGTAGTTTTGCAAATAAGCTATTAAACTTGTAATCTGCGAGTCGACGCATCCTCGTGCGCAAATTCCTTCGAAATAAATTTCTTTGAAAATCATATCTTGACAATGGAAACACTGCATGTCCCACAATGCCATGCAGTCATGTTCCACGAGGAAGAAGGAAACCTCTCTTTAAACTTTCGTACAAAATATTTCTTTATGTTGTTTTTTTTAATGTTTTATATCAGTATTTAAACCTGCAAAGAAGCTGTGAAAGCAAGATGAAAGCAAGATAGTTTGAGAGACGTCAAATAGTACTTCAAGACAAGTCTCAAAGTTTCGCTTCGAAGTTTACCGCAACTGGGCGAGGTCACAACCGACTTCAAACAAGATGCTTATAAAACAACGCATGGTATATTTTCGCTTATATCTGTCGTATTCATATACTTAAAGCTTTCCTATAGTTGCATGAATAGTCTACATGTTTTAATACGAGTATTTGAGAGAAAAGTTTATGATATTAAGGTTTGAAATTCGGCGATGAAATATATTTGAAATGCATATGGTTTCTGAAACACGTGGCGCAAGCCAAGGTATAAAAGCTTGGTAAATGTTTTTCTTTAATGTTTCTTCCTTGTTATTGCTATATATTATACATGAAATAAAACAAAGCTCGTTATGAATAAAAGTGTATTTTTACTTTAATAGTCTTGCACTGCAGCGGTTGAGGTTTTGTACATGTACAAACAAACCCTATAAACCAATCCAGGGTGCATTTCATTACTACCAAAGTGGCTATTCGTACTGGAAGAGTATAGTACACCAAGTTTGATTTTCTATTTGTACTGCAGTCGGAATATTTAAGATTAACAGACCCCAAACCCTTCCTAATGCACGAGTCCAGTCGTGATCCCCCCCCGGGCAACCCCTGGGGAATTTTGAAAAAATAAGTTGTCAAATTTCTACCCAAACAGGCAGAAACCACCGTCACATGCCACATGTGCTATGGGGGTACTCCTGGTTCTGGAATTTTGGCTAAAATTAAATTTAACAAATATTTCAAGATTAAGAAGAATGAAAATTGTAAAATGAATGAATTGATATTTGTGATTCAGAAGAATTTTTAAACTATTGAAAAGACATAAAATAGAAAACTTCTGAAGTGCTAGAATGTACACATATTTTTAG